CATACCACATAAGCTTGCTTCCTATTAATTGTATCGAGAATGTTTCCTTCTACTTGCATTCTCCGTCCGATCTCATCAGTCCGATCTTGACATTCCGAGACACAAGTACAAAATTGATCATAGAGATAATAGGTAACTGTTTAAAGGCAGTAGAGATGTTGGCCAAATCTGATCCAATAATTTCAGAAAACATTGATAATGTCAGTCAGTGTAAAGATAACAAAACCCGTGTTCCACACTACTTGAGATATAATTTTTAAAAGAGGTAATCAATATTTTAGTCGAATCTAGTTATAATGAGATAACAGGCATTGTCAAATAGTCAAATATTGCGCTATAATAACTGAAAAATAATAAAGCTCCCGGTTCGGATAATCTCTCTGCCGAACTTTTCAAAAATGGAGGCGACCCCCTCATGAAACACATGCATAAACTGATAACTGCAATTTGGCAACAGAAAGAAACAGCCACAGACTGGAATTTAGGTGTACTGTGTCCTATACACAAAAATTGGCGTGCGATAACACTACTAAGCCCACATCCAAAGTGTTGACCAAAATCATATTAAACAGATTAAAGCCATTACACAAACGCTTAAATATTAACCCACATTTGCACACTTAGAATTATTTTAGAACAAACAAATTAATGGAATAAAGACATAAATGTGAGTTTTATCGACTTTGAAAAGGCCTTCGATCATGTAAATAGGGTACAGCCTTGGAAAATCTTAAGACTATGGGAATATTACTAAAAATCATAATCTTCGTTCAACTTTTCTATGAAGAAACGCATATGCGCCCAATATTCCACAAGGCGGAATGAAACTAGAGAGAGATGTATAAAACTATGGTTTCGAGCTGCTGGCTTTTTTAGTTTTGTTTTTTAATCAACCACTAGGGAGAATTTTATTAAGGGCAGGTCTGTTACAATTTTTTTTGTTTCTTTTTCCTTTGCCACTGAACGCTTGACTGAGAAGTGAATCTTGGATCTAGACTTTCTTATAATAATGTTGCTCTAAGGACTGAACGCATTTTTCGACGATTCAACTAAAACCTAATTCCCCACTTGTCCCGTTTCCGTTTAACGAAACGTTTTCGTTATAAGTTGCGTGTGAGAAATGCCCATCGGCCAATTCACATATGTTCTGTCCCTTATTTATAATCATTTAAGAGGGATTAACAATAAAGAAAGTTAGTTTTTCTTTGTTCTTTTTTATAATATGGTCCTATTTGACAACACGAACTGAATGCAAAATTTCCCACTGAATGCCGAAGATCCGTTCTTGAAATGTGTAACTTTTTAATCACATAGGCGTATAGAAAACCAGCAACGGTATTTATTAATCTCTGTACAAAAGTGTTTTCTCATGATTTAGTATGTAGAACATTTCTTTTTGCATTATCATCATCGTACATGGTGTTTTTTCTCTTTTTAATTATATGCTTTGATTTTAATAACTACCATTACGACAAAACTATATTCTTACCTCCTATAAATATAGACACAGATTAAAATTGGTCGCTAAACAAAAGAATTGTTATTAAAAATCTTTACTTGAAGTTGACGGTAATTACAAAATTAATGGAATATCAATCGTTCCATTATTTTTTGTACGCATTTTACACTATATTCCGCTTTATTGTATATCTGCCTATTAGTTGATCTGATCTGGTGTAAAATGTTATAACCTACGCATTCCATTATTGTTGTTGATTTCAGAAGTATATTGCAATGCATAATAAATTATCCTATGCAAGTTTATGTTGTATCGATTGCGAAATAAATTCTGCTTTTTCTTATTTCGCCGTCTCCTTTCGAAAGTTGGCGATCTAAATTGGCAATTGTAGCTTCGGAAACTGCTGCACGAAAGATTTCTGTGGACGAGCGGTCAAACCATCTCGTCAGGTCTTTCTCGTTTGTATTATTATTGGGTTTGTTTTATATTTTTGTCTTACGTCCATGATGTTCATGATCTCTTTTATGCCGGGTCCAGACCAAACAGACAAAACAAAAACATTCATGTTTCGCGACAAAGTGGCGACAAATCGAAAACATTTGTTGAGACATTTCTGAACAATTTTGTTTTGTTTGCAAATTTGAAAACTTTTTCAGGTCCCGTCTCAGGTCGGTAAAGATCAAAAAGTCTGTGTTTTGTCTGTGTATTTGACGACAAGTTGTCGGCGCAGTGTGGACGCGTGTGCGTGCCAAAACGAGTTAAGCAGTAGGAGAAATAGAATGTACAATTTTTATCAAAATTAAGTGTATTTTTCTGTTACTTAGTCTCAACACAAATGTTCACTCAACTCCATCCAACTCCAACCCACAACATTTGTACTCAAATCCACCCAGCACTGACACACAACATTCATACTCAAATCCTCCCAGCATTGACACACGTTCATACTCAACTCCTCCCAGCATTGACACACATTTATACTCAAATCCACCCAGCATTGAACATTTATACTCAAATCCACCCAACACGCAACATTCATACTCAAATCCACCCAGTGCTGACCCACAAAACTATTACTTAAATCCACCAAACACCAACACACAACCTTTATTTTCACATCCACCTAGTATTGACACAGAGCTTTCTCAGTATTCAGATCAAGAAAACGAACGAAATTGATGATGAACTTTTTGAATGTAAAAACAAGTAGACTCGTCATTATTTTGCATGTAGTATGTACCTATCGTCAACTTCTTTTGTATTAAACATCTAACCAATAAATATGGAGTTTATTTTAAGGGACATTAACAGAAAAATAGTAATGAAAAAGGTTTAACATACATGTACATAACCACTAAGACTGTTAATTAAAGCTTTACATACTTCAGGTATTATTACAGATATTGATTGCTTTGATACTTTTGAAAGATACATTAGGCTGTGGTAGGAATCACCTGTTGCTAAAAATCTTAAAGTGATTGCTAACCTTTCTGTTACACTCATAGCATTTCTAAAGTTAGTATGTCTTTTTGCAACTGCAGGACCAACAAGGCATATTAGATTCTCAAAATCTTCGGTGGACATTCTTAAAAAATTTTTGAAGCTTGATCGAATTTCACCACTTAGTCCAATATCATCTGCTCGCAGCTGAACTAACAATTTGTCTATCGAACAACTTTCTCGCATTTTTAGGCTTGGTCTAATCAAAAACGTTTGGGTTTTCTTTTAGCAACCTGGGATGATGATGAGAGCAAAAAAAATTTGCGGCTAGCAATAAATCTTCAGTTTCATTTTTTTCTTGATTAAAACGCCACATGGTTAACCAACACTAATCACAACAACAACGTCACCAACTGAATTTGTTTTTATATTTTGTTGTTCTGGTGTGGACAGTTTGTCTCAATTTTGTTTTGTCTTTTGACGACAAATTTTGTCGCCGGTTTATCGTGTTTTTGTTTCAGAATTGTGTTTTCGTTTTGTCTGCTTGGTCTGGACCCGATCCATTCTTGTTTTCTGTTGTTTTCTGGGAACCCGATGTTGTCTTCTTATATCTTTCTTATTTTCATTTTTAGAGCAGTCCATGTTACTTCAACGTCTGTCTGTACCAAGTTCCCTAGCGTTTCTATTTCTTTCTCAACCTTGATACTTATTTCATTTTTCTTTTCAGGGTTTTTCTGTTGTAAGATGTCTATTTTTCTTGATACTTTTCCCTTTTAACTTTAAGAAACCTCTTTAGTATAAAATCCATTATAACTGGAATGTAATCGCTATGAATGTCAGCTCCAGGATATGTTTTAGTAGATTGTATGTACTTTTTGTACTTGTGTAAATTGTTATCGAGCAAAATGAGGTCAATTTGATTTTTAACAATTTTATCTTTTCTGTCTGCAGGTGATTTTCAAGTGTGTAGCCTTCTAGAGTGTTTGAAGAAGGTGTTTGCTACTAACTGGTTGTTCTATACGCAGAATTGTACCAGTCTATCTCCACTATTGTTTCTGGCACTAAGACAGTATGTTCCTATGTTGTCTTTTTTGGGCACCACGACCAACTTTAAGTTAAAGTCACCCATTATTACCTATCTAAAGTCACTCTTATCTAAGTGCCTTATTTATCAGTCGCATTATTTGAGCTATATTGTTATAAAAGTTTTCAATTTCTTCCTCTGATTTGTCACTTGTTAGAGCATAGACCTGAAGCACATTTAGGTTTCTATGGGTTGTTCTTAATTTTAGCATTGCTACTCTATCATTTAGAGGGATGAGGTCTATGACTGACTGAGTAATTTTGTCCGATATTTATATAGCCGTTTCATATTGATATTCTGGATCGGTTCCTCGTGACCATTAGATGTATCCGTCTTTTGTTATTTGTTTTCCTGGATCAGGCAAACTTACTTTACTTAACCACAAGATCTCTATTTATATTCTTCTCATCTCGGCCTCAGTGTTTTGCAAGTTTTCCAGACATGAATAAGCTGCGTTCGTTCCAGGTGACAATGCATACTATCCTGTCATATATTTGGATTCGCTGTTCACTTCCTTGGAGCTCATTAGTAGTTGATGGGGAGATTCTTTGCATTTAAGGGGTGCTCCGGACTAAAAGCCATTTTCTTGCTCCAGTCATGCTTGTAGTATTCGAGTTTCAAGCCGGTCCAGGATCATTTCCCCTTTGCGCCTTGAGCTGGTTATGATCGCTGTTGTCCTTCACCCGGAAGGGATAGGAAATAGGAAACTAGATTTTGGAAGGACAAAGGGATATGACATGATTTTTCTCATTAAGGAGACCAAAGCATGGCTCGCGTGGACAGGGTCGCTTCCCTGAAGTAGGCCTATTCTCTACTAAGATCATAGAAAAGTGTCTACCCTCCACCCGAAATTAATTACAGCCAGAACTTTACCTCGTTATTTAGTGTTCATTGGGTTGACCATCACACGTCGTGCCACGTTGTGATACCCATCTTGTCGTCAACATTTCAAATATCCGATTGCAATTTATATTTCCAAATATCTATTTTTTTTTAATTTATATTATTTTATTTTAGACAAACGTTGGTCCGATTCTGCTGTGTGTAAATCCCTACAAAGAGGTCGGCAATCCGTTGACTCTGAGCAGTACAAGGGGAATAGCGTTAAGTCCACAATTAAATAAGGTTGTCCAGGAGGCCGTTAGACAGCAATCCGAAACTGGATACCCTCAAGCCATAATCTTATCAGGTATAATTTCTACTTAATTTAATAGAGTGACAAAAGAATTATTGAAAGATGCAGTGATAAAATCAATTAACTGACAAGGAACGAAAAAAAAAAAAAAAAAAAATATAAAAAATTGCAATATTTCCTATTATAAAGAAGGAAGATTTGATGCAAAACTTGTCTCATTTTTAAAGAAATTTAAAACTTTTAAATAATTTGGAACTAAGAAACTCTTTGCATGGTTCTAAACCTATTTTCTTTGATATTTTAATGTTATTGACTAGCTTAATGGGAATTGACAACAAAATTGTGCTTAATGCCTATTAAATAGAGTAAAAAAAGATCAAACTCTTTATACAATACAATTTAAAAGAATGATATCATCTAAAAAAACTAAAAATTCATTAACAAAATTGCGTGACAAATACATAGAAGAAAAATATAAGATACAAATAAAAATGATCTACGCCCTCATAATACAAAAAAACAAAGAATACTACGAAACAAGATTTAGTTTAGTTGTTTCTGTGTTTTTAACTGTCTCACATCATAACCAGTTTAATGGTAGTTTTATAGATTTTTCCATTCAGTTTGATTGAAATAGTTCTGTCACGCAACACACCACTCGCTGTTCTTTCGTTTTATGAATTCATAATTATACTTGATGCATATTTATGTATTTCCCCATTACTCTGTAATACCGATTCTAGCTACTTAAAACTAGCACTTTTCACACAATCGTTTTACCATCCAAAAACCACTACAGGCCTTGTAGGCCCCTGGCCTCTAAAAATTTGGACGTCCTCTTCTTTTCCCCCTCTCTCAGTTTTCTAAGTTTTTTAATCAATATTCTGATTATTTTCTTCATTTTTTTTTGATGATTTTTTATCATCAACTGAGTTTTTTGTAGCATCTTTGGTTATGCCAGAAGACTCTCGAGCCTTGTTTTACCAATCAATATGCTCGGTAATTCCCATGCACCTCTTTATAACTCGGTACCCATATGAAAGGCACTTTATTATCTTTTGCAAGGTTGTTAAGATATTTGCAGTTTCTTAATAGTTTTGATTTGGTGAGTGGGTTATTTACCGCCAGAATACCCGATTGGCTGTATAAAATCTGTATAAGAGTTAATTATCTTTGCTTTGGGGTTTCCATCCATAAATTAATTACTATTTAACTGGGAATAAGCCACAATTAAAGATAAAAATACGTTTATTGACGTTTCAATTTCCACTTCGGAAATCGTTCTCAAAATACAAACAGTAAATTAAACAAATTTTGTTTTTTGTTACATAGTGAAAAATTCTTTTAATAATTTAATTTTATCTGACTCATTTATATTGACAATTCAGACATACATTATGCATTTTAAAGTAGACGACTTTAAAATGATATTGCCAATATTGTTGAGTTGAACTCCTGGGATGACTTTACTTATAAGATAGTTCATTCGATTACATGAAATAATTTTTAACTTGATAATATCCGTCAGAAAAAAATCATAGCATGTAATTCGTCCCTAAAAAGACAAACACATGACATGATGACAGTAAAATTCTCCTGTTAGTGATTCCATAGTAAATTATGAGGGAAAAACCAGGAAAAAACCTCTATAATACTATCCCGACATGGTAAGTATTTGTTCGTGCATTTAGTTTACCTTCAATAAACACCAAAATTCTGATTTTATATGTTTCGTTATTTAAAAAACATAAACGATGTATCCTCTATATGTTACTGACTTGCTAATACTGGTATTTTCTTATTAATAACTTCGTTTTTCAATATTGGTAATCAGATCCTACTACATTCTGTCGAGGAATTTGCGACACAATTGGCCTCATTTAGCATAATTAGAGCCGCTTCTTTGATTTTTCTTTTTTTACCATCCATTTCTTTTAGGACTACATTTGAATTATTCCATTGAACCCTATGTTTATTATCCCATGCGTGTTTACATATTTGAGATCTATCAAATTTTATATTTTTAATATAAGCTTGATGTTCACTTATTCTAACATTTAATGGCCTTGATGTTTCACCTAAATAAAACTGATCGCATTCATAAGGTATTTTATAAATGCAATTCTTTGTCCTTTCTTGTTCATTGTTAGGTTTGTATTTTGAGAACGATTTGTATATTGTTTGTATTTTTCAATTTACTGTTTGTATTTTGAGAACGATTTTATCTTTAATTGTGGCTTATTCCCAGTTAAATAGTAATTAATTTAAAATGTCACAAGAAAATAGCTTCAGAACAATATTCCATCCATAATTTAGGCAATGCAGGCCAACAAAGCAAAAAATTCAGCCTGAAATACAGTGGTATATTGACCTAAGCTGTAAGATTTATTATAACTACATGTCTGCCCAAAGACTCATTATTCAGTACCATGGGCATTTTAAGAACCAACAGTGAACCATATTATAACTTCTTTTTTCTTCCTATTTCTTGGCTCTATAACTATAGGTGAGTCTTGGCCGCGTGTACCATTTTCCTCCACTCTTGGCGGTCTTTTGCAGCAATTTCTCCTTTTTCACCTCCATTTTACGTAGATCACTCATTACTGTACCTTGCCATCTTTTTCTTGGGCGACCAACTGACCTTTTGCCATCCGGCATTTCCCAAAAAAGTTTTTATTTGGTAGTCATTCATCACTCAATCTTAGTTCATGTGCTTCCCATCTTACACGATTTGACTTGGTGTATCGTACTATTTTCGTTTTTATTTTCATAGAGTGCTTGGAGCTCCTGTTTTGTTTTCGTTATTACTATTTTGTTATCTCCTCTCTATAAGGTCCAAATATCGTCTCGAGGATCTTCCATTCTAAGAATAATATTAATCATATTCTAAGACTATATTAATAGTCCCCATACATATTTGTGACTATTTATTGTCTAGATGGTATAATTGTCTTCATCTTCTACTTGAAGATTAGTTTTGGTGTCGTCATATCTGAGTTCATCGTAAAGATGGATTCATTTAGTCCCAGTAATAGCATTTGTGTGACCATTCAATTAATAATTAGATCTCCAAATATTGTTTACTTTAAATCTCAGGATGATAATAAAGGCTATCGCCGAAATATATAATTCCAACAGAGGGAGACCTGTGATAGCCTCTAAAGGCTACCTTCCTTTAGTTTTGGAAGGGTTCACAAAAAGATTTTTTTCACACCTCTCCTATCTTATCTCTCCTATCTATCTAGTGCACACCACAGAATCTCTCGAAGAACTCTATCATCTATCATATGCTTTCTCAAGATCAATAAATACCATATGAGCGTTTCTTCATTCTTTTATTTTTCCATCAAATGCTTTATAATGACAATTTTATCTGGTGTTGATCTGCTTTGCATCAAGTTAAACTGATCATTGGATATTTCGGTTTCTTCACGTATCTGTCTAGCAATTACTCTCTCTCTCTCTCTTTCTCTCTCTCTCTCTCTCTTTCTCTCATATTTGCATTTTTTGACTAACTAGTTTTATGGCCCAGTTGGCTAGGAAACTTGTTAGCCAACTGTTCCTGTCTCTCCTAAAGTTGTTATTTTTAATAGACTAAATAATTTTTTTCTTTTTAATAGACTAAATAATTTTTTATGCTTTTAGGAACCAGTGGTTCTGGCAAAAGCCATGTTTCTATGTTACTATTGCGACAACTGTTTGCCGTAGCAGGGGGAGGTCCAGAGACTGACGCGTTTAAGCATTTGGCTGCTGCTTTTACAGTATTACGTTCCTTAGGGTCTGCGAAGACTATGACTAATTCGGAATCTAGTCGAATTGTAAGTATTCTTACATTTTTTAATAAAAAACTAAATAATTTATACCAAAACTTAATAGAACATCACATTAAACAATTAACTTCTGTTATAAGTATCGTAAAGTCGTTAATAGTTAGAATTTCACCCTCCTGGCTATTTTAGCAGCAGAGCTATACTATTTCATTGTGTGTGCCATTATTGCAGTTTTGGATAATCTTTTTTCGCTACTGATGTTCATCAGATTTTTGACATCTCTGGTCATTTTAAGCAAGTATTTTTTTCGATGCCCTCCTTTTGATTTAATTTATTTTTGTTGTGGGCTCTGCTTAACAATCTTTATCTGTCTTTAATTCTACTTTTTTAAAATTGTTTTTCTTTCATTAGTTCTTCTTTCCATGTATCCTTTGTGTGCTTCGTTTCTTTTTTGTAATGCTCGATTACATTCTTTATTATATCATTTTGCTGTTTTCTTGTTATTTTTAGTACTTTATAAATAAAAGTCAGATATAGAACATAATTCTTTTATTAAATCTTGCCCAAGTACTTTCGCCCTCAAAGCATCTTCAGGGGATGTTTTGTCATAAAATTTGGCTATTGGAAAATATAGTAGGATAGCCAAACGTTTTGACGAAATATCGCTGAAAATGCTCTTAAAGCGAAAGTGTAAGTCAAAAGTTGAATTAAAATAAATATTATAAATCATACGTTTTAGGGTCAGTTCATAGAAGTTCAGGTAACTGATGGAGCCTTATACCGCACAAAAATTCACTGTTACTTTTTGGATCAAACTAGAGTGATACGACCATTACCAGGTGAAAAAAATTACCATATATTTTACCAAATGCTCGCTGGCTTATCGACTGAGGAGCGGACTAAACTTAATCTAGAAGCACAAACGATAACATCGTTAAGGTATCTTCAGTATGGAGATACAAGGCAGGATACTATCGAAGATTCGAATAGGTGAGTTTAAAACTGTAATTATACAATAAATTTGACGAAAATTATCGAAGCACATAAACTTGCAAAGAAAACCATATTCCTTTCTCCCGTTAGGTTATATTTGAATACCTTCTGTGAAAGTGGGATATTTTATGGCTCTATAGTATAGTGCGTTAGTTATAGCTAAGAGGAGGTTCTTAAGTATATTGAGTCGTCAGTTTTAGCTTTTCATTGAACTAATCGGTATTTTTTATTTGCAGATTTCAAGCTTGGAAAAACTGTTTGGGAATCTTGGGCATACCATTCTTGGACGTAGTAAGGGTTCTGGCAGCAGTTCTGCTATTGGGAAATGTGCAATTTATGGACGGAAAAGGTCTGGAAGTCGATGTTAAAGGCGAAGCCGAACTAAACGCCGTCGCTGGACTGTTAGGTGTATCCGGTGGTGCCCTCTTCCGCGGCCTCACTTCTCGCACTCACAACGCTAGAGGTCAGCTCGTAAAATCCGTGTGTGATGCAAATATGTCAAACATGACAAGAGACTGTCTCGCTAAAGCTTTATATTGTCGTACTGTAGCTACCATAGTTCGTAGAGCTAATAGTCTTAAGAGGTTAGGATCTACGTTAGGAACTCTAAGTTCGGACTCTAATGAATCGGTTCATAATCAAGCGGAAGTTACGAGTCAGCATGCTTCTACTATAGGGGGAAGTACTAACGCCGGGAGTAAGTCAATGGCAGCATTAAATAACGCCATTAGACACGCGACTGATGGCTTTATAGGAATACTTGATATGTTTGGTTTCGAAGAACCAAAGCCGAGTCAACTGGAACACCTTTGTATTAATTTATGTGCAGAAACTATGCAGCACTTTTACAATACTCATATATTTAAGTCGAGTATAGAATCTTGCAGGGATGAAGGTATCAATTGTGAGGTAGAAGTAGATTATGTGGATAACGTACCATGCATTGATTTAGTGTCATCTTTGCGGACTGGTTTGTTAAGTATGCTTGATGTTGAGTGTTCTATCCGTGGTACAGCCGAGTCGTATGTATCGAAGATAAAAGTTCAACACAAAAATAACTCCAGACTTTTCGATCCGAAACCAATTGATCCACGATTGTTTTGCATCCAACATTTTGCTGGTAAAGTTGTGTATGACGCAACGGATTTTCTGGACACCAACAAAGATGTTATACAAGACGATTTGGTAGCTGTGTTTTATAAACATAGTTGCAATTTTGGTTTTGCGACACACTTATTCGGAAGCGAGCTTAAAGCCTTATATTCAGTGGAAACGGTTCCGAGAGGAGTAAGTTTCCGAATATCTCCTACTTCCCACACAGATCTTTTAAACGGAGATGAACCAGTCTCGACTTTAACACAAGACTTCCATACTCGTCTTGACAACTTGTTGCGTACTCTGGTACACGCAAGGCCACATTTTGTCCGTTGTATTTGCAGTAACTCACAAGAAGCAGCCAATAGATTCGAAAGAGGTATAGTAGTACGACAAATCAGGTCTCTGCAAGTACTGGAAACTGTTAATCTCATGGCTGGTGGTTATCCCCATAGAATGAGATTTAAGGCTTTTAATATGAGGTATCGTTGTCTGGCGCCTTTCGCTAAACTTAATAGAACAGAAGAAAAAGTAACAGATGACTGTAATTTAATTCTTCAGTATGTTATGGACTCCATAGGAAAACAACAAAGTCTCGTATCAACAAGTTACGCTATGGGAAAGAGGCATATCTTTTTAAGCGAGGGAATAAGGCAGCAGCTTGAAAAGCTGAGGTCTGAAACGCGACAGAAAGCCGCTACCTTAATACAGTGTTGTTGGAGAGGCTGGCATTGTCGATATAGAATGTCAGCTATTCGGAGAGAAAAAACGGTCAATCAACCTCCAGTATCTAGAACAGCAATCGGAGGAACAAGACCAAGGCCTCAGCCCATCGCTGGTACTCCACCGCCAGATCCTAATGAAAAATGCGATGCGAAAATCATTCAACAAACCTGCAATCTTTTCGGACTGGATTTGGAGCGGCCTCCTCCTGTTCCTCCTAGTAGATCGTACACTGTAACAGGAAATACCAAGCTGGGTTACCCGCAAACCAGAGTCATGAAAATGACATATCCCGAAGATACTACTACTGGCGACGATGGTCCAGTTTTACTAAAAGGAGATACTGTATTAGTAGTAGGAGCTTCACACCGTAGAGGTCACTTAATCGTTGAACACAAACATTGTACGCTTCATGTGCCCTTTCAGTTTTTAGAACTGAAACAAAGTGTTAATATTTAATCTTGCCATTTGTCTTCCGCGGTCACTTTATGACAGGTACTGATATATTTGCTTTTAAGGTTATTCTATTTAATTTAAAACATGTATATTTCGTAATTATACACTGAACAGTATTTTTATATAAGAATCGACTTACATGGTGCACTATAGTACGTAGTCTGTATAGTAGATCAGGAATTATTTGCTACCAGAATTTTAATTTTAAGTTATGCTAAATTATTTACCAATCAAGGGCATTTACATGTTGTGAACAGTTAATGATTTTGAAGTGTTTGTAACTGGTCACGTGATATTTCTGCAAAAATAAGTTTAAAACTTAACAAGAATAAATAAAAAATCCTTTATAAAAGTTATATTTATTTAAAAGAACTCTTTCGGGCTAAATCACACAAAGTTTTTGAAACATATATTACATCTTCAGTGCTGCCAACTAAAAAAAGTATAACCACTTTAATTAAGAAAAACGGTAGGGGAGAGGGGGGACATGTGGACAAATTTCAAAAAAAAAATATACCGCAAAATGAGATTCATTGTAAAGTATCGGCTTCTTCAATGTAAGATTCACATATTGAGTCTTTAAATTAAATTATTTAGGGTACGTTCATTAAATTACAAGTAGATATAATTAGTCCACATGTGCATACATTTTTTTTTAAATGCAATTTTTATTATTTATCTAATATAACATTGAATTATCCCGTATTATGTCCACGAAAATTAACGGAAAACCTAACAAAAGGAGCTGTCCCAATGTTTTTTCGGGAGCTGGAAATTTTCGCATAATATCGTTGGTAAAATATGACTCATCCTTCTGATCTGGAAATACAAAATCTTGTCGCGTCGTCATTTAAAAAAAAATACTAAAAATTCTGACTCTTCTAGTTCCTTTTCAATCTAACCAACAAAGAATTTGAGAGTTTTTTTTGTAGCAAATTTAATGAGAACAAAATCCCCTTTCTGGTTATTTATAAGATCCAATCCAAAATATTTACCATCTTTAGTCTCAACTTCCATAAGACTATCATCTGATTCCTCGCAATAATTCTCAATTTCGTTTTCTGATGTCTCCTCATCAAAAACATTGCGAATGTGAGATTTGGATTTTTTATTTTCTGTATTGCCTTGCTTTTCTTTCCTGAGTCCGTTTCCCTTTATCCTTCTTTTCTCTTATTTCATTTTCTAATCTATTTTTTTCTGGTATATGGGTCAGAATGGTGGAAATTGTTCTTTCTTCCTTTCTAAGATCTTATTCTCACGGCATTTGGGTATGGACGAATTTGTTCCGGAGCGAGTTTTACATCGGAAATCATTACAATTTTGGAACTAATATTCGGTAAATTATTTACTATTTATAACTGGGAATAAGCCACAATTAAAGATAAAAATACGTTTATTGACGTTTCAATTTAATAGATATTTAAATTTCAAATCAAATCACAATATTAATGTAAAAAAGGGAATAATTAAATCCTTATACGATAGAGCCAAAATTACTTGTTCTAACGAAAATTCGTTCTTGGAGGAGAAACATTTGTTAACATCTGTTTTATTAAAAAATGATTATCCTTTATCATTTATAAATAAGGAATTTTCAACAATCGATCGAATAGAACAGAACAACTTAGAACGAGATCCTACAACATACACAAGGAATAATATGAGGAAAATAACAATACCGTATATAAAAGGATTATCAGAAAAACTTAAAAGGATAGGAAATAAATTCAACATTTCAACAACATTCAAAACAACAAACACGTTGAGATCTATTTTGTCCAAAACCAAACCTAACAATGAACAAGAAAGGACAAAGAATTGCATTTATAAAATTCCTTGTGAATGCGATCAGTTTTATTTAGGTGAATCATCAAGGCCATTAAATGTTAGAATAAGTGAACATCAATCTTATATTAAAAATAGAGAATTTGATAGATCTCAAATATGTAAACACGCATGGGATAATGAACATAGGGTTCAATGGAATAATTCAAATATAGTCCTAAAAGAAACGGATGGCAAAAAAAGAAAAATCAAAGAAGCGGCTCTAATTATGCTAAATGAGGCCAATTGTGTCGCAAATTCCTCGGCAGAATGTAGTAGGATCTGGTTACCAATATTGAAAGAGGAAGTTATTAATAAGAAAATACCAGTATTAGTAAGTCAGTAACATATAGCGGATACATCATTTATGTTTTTTAAATAACGTAACATATAAAATCAGAATTTTGATGTTTGTTGAAGGTAAACTAAATTCACGAACAAATACTTACAATGTCGGGATAGTATTATGAGGTTTTTTTCCTGGTTTTTCCCTCATAATTTACTATGGAATCACTAACAGGAGAATTTTACTGTCATCATGTCACGTGTTTGTCTTTTTAAAGACGAATTACATGGTATGACTTTTTCTGACGGATATTCTCAAGTTAAAGTTGATTTCATGTAATCGAATGAACTATCTTATAAGTAAAGTCGTCCCAGGAGCGCAACTCAACAATATTGACAATATCATTTTAAAGTCGTCTACTTTAAAATGCATAATGTATGTCTGAATTGTCAATATAAATGAGTCAGATAAAATTAAATTATTAGAAGAATTTTTTTCACTATGTAACAAAAAACAAAATTTGTCTAATTTACTGTTTGTATTTTGAGAACGATTTCCGAATTGGAAATTGAAACGTCAATAAACGTATTTTTATCTTTAATTGTGGCTTATTCCCAGTTATAAATAGTAAATAATTTACAATGCCACAAGAAAATAGCTTCAGAACAATAATATTCGGTAGTTAAAACAGCTTGACAATTATTGTTGACTTATGGCTGAACATTTGCTAATGATTATGTAGAAGGCATTTCGGAACTAGAGAGTGTACTGCAATTTAGACAATCATCAGTTGTGGTATCTCGCTGCTATAAATCACTGATTTCCGTAACTTCAGCTCTTACGAAATCTTCCGAGAAACAAATATTTTTTATTAAAGGATAGCAACCAGTGTTTAAAAACCCAGAAATAATGTTTTTTCTATTAAATGATTTGTCACAGACTGGAGCTGTTAGATGTGCAATGTTATAAATTGCTTGTAACGACAAGACTATCAAAGAGAATTAAGTATTATTGTAAAAATAATACTTCAATCAACCATGGGAGCTTATCGTCTATACCTTGCCTAGCTCAGTATCTCAAGGGTGAGTTCGTCTTGTCTTAAAATAGGGATTGAACCTTAGTTCTCAGTTGATAGCAAATAAGACAAATTTTAACCAAACATATTTATTTAGAATAAAAAAATACAATAATTAACCATGCCAAAGCTAAACAATTGATAAGTGATACTTATTGCTTCGTTTGATGGGCTACTTGTGTGTTCTAGCTGCTAGATCCTCCAATGGAATGTTGTAATATCGGAGAGCTGCAGTCACACGTGGTTGTATTTTCTGATGTGGTCAATAATCCCAGTAAATCCAATACGGCTGTCAATAAGCCCAATAAAATCTAAATATTTTCAATAAACTAAAACACAAAAGGAATAGGAGCATTAGAGACACATCAAGAGGAGTTTATCTTCCTTGCAATCTTACAAAGTTACAATTAAACAAATAGCATACGGCAAGGATAAAATGAGATAAGATTGTTACTATGATTGTTAGTTAAATTCTGTTAGAGTTCTAATGCATATATTAAAAAAAACAATGTGATTTCGAAAGAAAGTAAGGTTACAAATATTGGAAATGCGGTCAGAACTATAGAATAAATATCACAATGAAAGTACTTACCCCAAGAGAATTTGTAGACCATAAAATGAGTCCAATTATAATTGTTGTCTTCTTTTATAAAGATCAAAGAGGCATAAAAAATAAATAATATTCTCACTACATTAGAACATTTAACTGACAAAAAGGGGGAAACTAAAATGAAGTTAGCACAGATGTCACAGGATGTTGCTATTTCATGAAACTAGCTTGTCTGTCAACACAGAACACAAAGAGAGAGGACGAATATTTATTCTACGTGACAGAAAGAGAGAGTAAATAATGAGAGAGGAATAAATGAAAATAGGGGAAGAAATATAGCGGGCGCCAACTATTTTTAAATAAAAAATAGTAAAATCAAATTGAAAATAAACAAATTAACAAATTACTAAAGAAATTAAAATGAAATAATTATTTAAATATAAATTAATAGAGATGTGACGTTTATAATGTTACATGTTATAGCTTTTCTCGGATGTGTAGACATCCATAAGTTAAATGCTGCACGACAACGACCCTTAAAAGGACCAAATACACACACATCTAGAGGCTGCAAACGATGTGTTGTGTGTGGAGGACACGTTAAGAGTACTAAACCCTTTTGCTCTACAATAATGTTATCAATAATCTTAATATGCTCTACAACTTCGAAGCTCCAGTCAGGAATGACTCTTTAAATCATTAGGTCCACCTGTTTATATGGTTGCAATCGCATTCATATAAACAGGTGAAATACCATTTCCATTAGCAATGATTATTGCAACAAACGACACTTGCTCACCTTTCTCTGCTCCAACTGCTTATCCCACTTGCTTACAGCCTTTATTTGCGACCACTTTTACCATTTTCAGAACAGTGTTCGCTCCGCTTTCATCTACGTTCATTAGTACATTTGTACGTTTTGTAAACGGTCGCTAGGTTATCAAAAAACATATCTACGTTAACTCTATTCAAACTGATGTTTGTGGCTAGACTCGTAGACTCAAATCTGCCCTAAATCAACGGTTTACCAACAAGCAGACAAGCCAACTGTCAGTTCCATAATGAAGCAAGGTGGGTTATTTATAGTCCATCAAGTTTTTATAAATGTAAGGGAAAATGAGATAAAAATGTTGAGTATGTTATCTAATAGCGCAGTAGTATGTCGACAACTACTTAATATTTGAGATTTACTAAGGTATTTATAAAATCGTATGTAATGCAATTTTGTAGATATCTTTTACCCATCCTTGGTCCTTCTAGGGTTAAAC